CCAGCCAATCGAGCGATATTCATTCAATTTCCGTTTTCCCAGACAGGGAATACGCGAAACGACCGGAAGAAAACGGATTCGTGCCACGCGATGATATCGGGAACCGTTGAATTTCAAAAGTGGAAGGAATGGTCGCAACCTTGGCTCGGTGATCGTAATTCTTTGGTAAGGTACGAGCGGCGTAGAGCTGCTACTCGGAAGCGATTCGGGGATCAAAAAGATGAACGCGCGCGAGCGTGCTTGTCTTGCAAAATAAACGGTGTTAGGTAGGATAAAGCGGAGAGGAATAAATATCAAACACCAAGGAGAAGAGAAGAACGAGGCAAAGTTTCGTCTAATGTTGTTCGATGGATTACAAAGAAAAACAACCACGAGCGTTCTAAGCTGATTTCGTCGAAAGTTTCCAATCTATTTTCAAAGTTGCTCCTTTTGCGCAGCGAATTCAATTTCTGCGCAAGCTTCGCACCGTAATCGAATCACGGTTAAACGGCCCAAGAATCTTCAGTTGCATCGTTAATTGACTCGAAGAAAAGTTGCCGAGCCGCTTAATCCCTCTTCCCGAAGAATTATATCTCGTTGGAAAGCATTTTTTCCCGCGCATCTACGCAAACGAGATATTAAATTCCGCGCGGTCGTATCTTCCTTTATTCTCCGTCGGTTCTCGAGATATTCATCGAAACGAAGAAAGCACGCGTGGCATCGATACTCGCGCGCGAAGACTCGAGATGAAACGATCGCGGGCTTGTTCTCGTTAATTTAATAACGTTCGACTCGTGTTTACATTACACTCGTGGATCGTGGAAAAGCGTAGCCCGTTCCGAGTGTACTCGTGTTCCGATCTTGTTCGTTCTGTACGCTTGTTCGCACGCATTCGGTGCAACGGAGCGACACGCGCGTCGCTCGTTATTCGGTGTCATACGGAAAATTGGCGACGGTTGATACGCATGCGTTTGCAAATTTTCTCCCGCTGCAATAAAGTTTTACATGCATAAATTCCGTTTTACACGTACGGATAAAGCATCCGTACCTACGGATGCCACGGAATATTTTCGGCTCTATATTTCGATACCACCCGTTTTACATTTCGCAAAGAGGCTTAAAACCGACCCGATTACGCTGGTCGGATTTATAACGCGGTCCTCGGCCTTTTATCCGACAAATTGCGCACTTTATCCGATAAGTTTTTCCACTGGCAACGATATCGCGATACCGCGTTAAATTTAATTATCAGAGAGACCGAAATTTGCAGCAAATCAGCGCGTCGATTCGGCCTGGAAAGCGTTATTGCCACCCCGATAACGAATAGCTCGGCAACGGTTCCCGCTAATTTTCTTTCTACCTTCTTGAACTTTTAGACAAATTGCTCGTCTCTCCCTCCCCATCGTTCGCGATTCTTTTTCCTATTGCGGGTCGCTCGCGAAATTCTTTCGATCGATGAATCACGCCGAGAAATCTTGGAAAGCTATTCGTCGCTACGAATCGGCACATTTCCAACTAACGTACCGTAATTTTCGACGCGAATAGAAAAATAGCTTCCCACGTTTTCGTTCGTCACTCGACCACGGTGTTCGCGTTTGATCTCCGATACAGATGTCTCTACGTATAATATAAGAGGGAACCCACTCGATTGAGCCTCGTATTTTGAATCTCATATATTCTCCGGGTAACTCTACCCGATCTTTTCTTCTCGTTTCTCTCTTCTTGTTCGCACCTTTTCCACGTACCTCTGCCGCTTCTTTCTTTTTCCGATCGCATTTCTTTCGTCTTCCTTCGTACGCCGGTTCTACCCACGGTGCAAGAATATTTCAGAATATTTTACGAGGTTCCACCGTTAAACCGATACCGTAGCAGGTGCTCCGTTCAAGTTTTCCAGAGGAAAAAAGGGTACCGAGGAAAGGAATGACAGAAAATCTAGGTTGTGTACACGTAGCGTCGAGAATCGGGGAAGTCTCTCTCCCCCCCCCCCCCCCCCCCC